AAAAAAAAAATTTAGGAAAATGAATTTCCCGTAAGCCACCAATGCTTCTGATTTTAAAAAGGAAGAATGAACAAAGAAGCAACAGGAACCTTGAGAGGAGTTGGAACGCTGAGACGGCAGCCCACTCCCTGGTCACTGGGACACTCACATTCACGCCTCTCTTCTACCCAAGGGTTGCGATAGTTTAGATAAATCTACCCTATCATGGCTTCTGTGGAGAATAAAGGATTTAATGTTACATAGAAGCATATTCATTTTTATTATGACATCAAATCAAGAAAAGATAACTGATTGAGTTGACAGATTACCGTGCTTTAACCATATTGTATAGAAGGATCAAAATATCATATACATGTGTACCTGCCAAATATACATAACTATTATATGTCAATTAAAAAAAATAGCAAAGAGAGCTGGGAGCAGTGGCTCATGCCTGTAATACCAGCCCTTTGGGAAGCCAGCATGGGAAGGATCACTTGAGGCTAGGAGTTCAAGACCTCAAGTTGTATAGTACGATATATCCAGCAATATTACCCATGAAATTCAATTAAAAATATTTACTTGAGGCCAGGTGCAGTGGGACTCACACCTGTGATCCTAGCACTTTGGAAGTCTGAGACAGCATGATTGCTTGAGGCAAGAAGTTTGAGACTAGCCTAAGCAAGAGCAAAACCCCTGCCTCTACAACCAAACAGCAAAATTAGCTGGGCATGGGCACATCTGTCATCCCACTGACTCAGGAGGCTGAGGCAGGAGGAGTGCATGAGCCTAGGAGTCTGATGTTGCTGTGAGCTATGATGCTGCTGCTGCACTCTGGCCTGGGTGACAGAGCAAAACCTTGTCTCAAAAATAATAATAACACTAAATATATACTATATGTACACATGCATATGCTACATGTATATATATATATGTATACACTTGAGTACTTATGTGCAAGGTATATATTGAGCTTGGCTCTGAAAAGGTGAATGAAGGGAACTCTGCCCTGCTGAGATGCATGATTGTATTTTCATAGTCATATTGACTTCAAGGCCAATGTCAAAGGCATGTTTAGCATTTCCGAATGTCAGGGCTACCCCAGTAAACCCTGCTGCCTGCTCACTCTCTCAGCAAGCAGGAGCGTCAACGTCCAGTTACTGTCATCTGACGTGCTGGGTTGGAGGCGTTTTGTGGTCACTGCTCCAGGCTCGGCCACCTCCATCATCTTCAACACGCTGCTCTGTGTGGGTGCTGCCTGCTTCATGTAGAAACTGAGCAGCACAGAAGTCATCCTCAGCCCAACACCAGCACACAGGCGACGTCGGTTTGTGTTGGTGGCACTCCATTTTTCAGCATACATTTAAGGGATAGATTTTGAAAGAGGACCAAATCATGATTCTCACACAGATATAAAAAGGGCATGTGTCAAGAAAAGTTGAAACAGAAGCTACAACTAGTTCAAAAGAGAAGCCAAGGGACCACCAACTTGTTCGTAGTAAAGGAATGAATGGCAAAAAGGATTTGCAAAGACCAGTGTGTCCAAAAGGCAGTAATTTAATCATCATATACCAGAATTCAACTAATTTGTAATTCTATGGATAAGAATTATTTATAATGCTATCAGTTTCCTACAAATTACTGTCTTTATAGAGTTGTAAAATTACTTAGTCGAAGATGAATGTGCATACACGTGTGGATGTGTGTACGTGTGTACTGTGTGCACGTATGTATTGTGTGTACACGTGTATACATATGTGTATATGTGTGTACATGTATACTCTGTGTACATGTGTACTGTGTGTGCACGTGTGTATGTATGTGTGTACATGTGTGC